GTTGATACGATTTACTGATTTGTTTCATTTTGTTTCAAACATTTCTCTTTGTATATCTAGAATTTGGCTCTTCACAAGACTCTCTGTGGAATACCACGCGCTATCGACCATCCTGATGAAGACGGTCATCCAACAGTGAGCTTCTCCAGGCTGATGTTTTCTGACAACTTGAGCTTACCATATGCTTTCTTTGGTTCCAGAACATGAGCAATGTTAGTGATGTGGATGAGTTTGAGGTTCAATTAGCAAAATTGAACAAGGTCGGTAATGTAAATGCCTTGGTTGATCAACACCCACACACCTACCAGCTACCAAATGATGATGATTCCTATGTTTTGATGAGTACTGGGAACCGAGAGAAGTGGGCAAGAGCTATAGTGAGTCTTTAATATTATCATCATTTCATCACAAATCTTTTGAGCTCACCTTTTCTTTCTTTTGAGATCGATCCCACTGTTCATGGTGTCTCTTTAACTAGCCCACCATCTGGAATTTGAGATAGCAAGAGGGCTCTGAACATGAAAAGACATCGAGTTGGTGTTTCTGGGACGTTTGAGACCCTACAGACTGCTGTTCCAGTTAGTGGTTCAGCCTTGATGGCGGATTACCTCAAGTTTATTGAAATCAATGAAATGGATCGAATTTTGGGGATTTTGACCAGCAAGAAGATCAAAGATTATCATCACTTTTCAGGTGGAATCACTAAGGAGGAATTGAGGGGTTTAGGCTTTGAAATTGGCGAGATAAGAGACTTGTTGGACAATGTCATCAGATTTGATGAACATTTCTTGATGGATGGTCATTAGTTGCTTCATCCTGCAATCTCTATTTTTGTTTGGTACTCAAGGCTCTTACTATTGTTATTATTAGTATTATCAAAAGGTGGATTTCTGAACAAATCCAATAATCATAACCTGTATCATAGTAGTTTGTATCAAATGTAAAATTTGAGAATCAATTTCCTGCTTCACAATTTAAATCAGAATTTGATTGAATCAAAGGATACCAAAGATCTCCCTACAATATGGCAAATGGATAATATTGAAGAGGTTTTCTTGAGCTGTATTTGATAAGACAAATGAATCATTTCATTGAGGAAGTGGAGTCCCAATAATGACAAGGAGACAAAAAAATTAATTGTAGACTTCAGGGCATACTTCAAGTTTCATCCAGACTATCAATGATACCCAGAAACAACATCAGTGTGGTCTTAGACAAGCTAGGCTCCAGATTTCCTGCTGATGGAGACATGCACTGAATCTGGGAATTGAACCCAGGTGCACATCACAAATGTTTCCTTTGTTCCCTAGCATATACTACTCACTACATGCAAGGTGGTGACGCCGCGGGTGCGGGTTTGCGCTGACCCCAGATCAGCCCCCCGCTTTTGCAAGACCCCCCCCCTTGGGTTTTGTGCGGCGTCACCGCAACCCCGCATCTGCGGGGTCAGCACTTTGCATGTAGTGACTACACTATAGGGGTCTTTAATCCATTGCAGTGACACATCTATTAATAGGAAAACCAATGACATGTGTAAATTGAATCGTGAGCAAAGGGATAAATTTACAGTCGATACTTTCTAATACTCTTCATACATGTCCTCCGGTAAGCAATACCCAGAAGCTTTGTATTCTTCCACTAGAAGCTCCGGTGTAATGAATTCCAAAACACCATCTCAAATCAGCCAAGTTGCATCACTGCCTGACTTCTCCAATATCTCACTTCTCTTGAAGTGGGCTTTGATTACCAAGAAGCACATCTTGATTGGATTCAACTCGGGGGAATAGGTAGGTAAATATACTAATCTGACACCTTCAAAAGGAAAGGTATCAAAGTCAGTGGCATGATGGTATCAATAATCAAGTGAGAAAGCTTACCAGCAATTTCACAAAGTTCTTCAATGCAACCCCCTTATGAATTGGACAGTTGTCCATGACCAGGATTGAGTTTGGAGCTGGATAAGCATTCATCAAGGGAAGCTGGATTATAGAATCATGAATGAGTACAATCAAAGATTGAAACAATGATAAGAAAAAAAACTGACCAGCTGAAATTCCAAAAAGCTTTCAAATAGGCCGCGGTTGATGCTGCCTTCACGGACAGACATTGTGATCAACCCATGTAGTCCAATCACTGGAAGCAACAAGTATCGTTTTGGGTTTGAACATTTGACCCAGCCCGTGACACGTTCACCCTTTGGCGACCGTCCATTGACTCTCATCAAATCCCGCTCACATATAGCACTCTCATCTGACAGGATGAGAGAAGAATGGAATTGAAAGGAGTCAGATAAAATCCAAATGAAAAGATAGAAAGACAAGGTAAAAAAAATAGGCACTTACCAGTAAATACAAGGTATTCAGCAGGAACGTTCTTCATGTCCTCCATAAATTTAGCAGTCTTGTAGAAATTCTTGCAAACATTTGAGGTGAAGGCGTGTGTTGAGTTTGAGTGAGAGTTCCTTGCAAGACACCAAGACACCAGTTGCATCATAGATTGCTTCTCGGATCTTGTCCAAGAAAAGAGAGGGTTGCTGAGCTACAAGTTCTCTGATGAAGTCACGATCTTCATCATTGAAAATGAGAGGTGCTCCTTGTTTCTTGTACTCTAGCAGATTCCTGATGACTGATTGAGTTTGTTGATAAAGCTCCATCCATTGGTGGAAAGTGGGTTCACAAATGTTCTCATCAAGAATATCTCAGATTTCGTCAGTTGGAAAGCCTTGAAGGCATTTGGTAACAGACAAAGCCTTGATTTTGGCTGAGTATTTGACAAAGGGCATGATTGATATAAAATAAAGTTGTTAATAAAATTGATTTTAGATGATTTGAGTGAATTTGGGTGAGATCAATCAATTGATATCAAATGGTGGTGAATGAATCAATGGTTTTGAGCTGAAAACCATCAAAGCACTGGATGGGGTTTGGATCAGTCCCCATCCAGCTGATCCGGCTTCGGGTATTTTTCGGATCGGGGCCAAATTTGCGCCTTTCAAGCAAAAAAAACACAGCCGTTATCACAATTAACGGTAGAATTCTTCATTGGTGTGTTGCATTGGAATTTAATTTAAAAGTCAAAAACTAGTTAAAGCCGGCTCAAAGTGACAGGTCTCCCAGGCCTCCTTGTTCATTTGGGTGCAAAACTGGGTTTAATCCAGTTTTGACCTCTCCAGATTTAACCTCGAGAGCGACAAATGATCAAAGAATTCTACCGTTAATTGTGATAACAGCTGTAAAAAAATTTACAAGCTTTCATGCAGATGCAGTAAGTTTACGTAAATTTTACGCAAACGGGAGAAGTTTTATTTATCCCGTTTGCATAAAACGTAAACAATTTATGTTCACAACATGTGATCAAAGTGCTCTTGTTGACCAATTTGCTCTCAGACACAGTGGTGGGCTTGATGGTGGATGCAAGGACAACCTTGCATCCTTTTACCAGCAGTTTTCACCTCACCAGGTGGATGATCCAGGCAAAAATGTAAAAAAACCTCAATCATGGTTTACCAGTTATTATTCAACCACGGCTAAGTTTTTTTTGAGTTATAACATAAAAACTTGGCCGTTTCATAGTTTTTTTTGTTATAAAAAATCAAACTTGACACCCCCTATTACCAGTTCCAGCCCATACTACAGTAGCTAGTCTTTTTTATGGGTCAATACATACATACCATCAAGACTGATTGATATCTTACACGCTTTTTGAAAAGAATAAAATTTACAAACCCTGGAAACCATAGTTTTTTCATCAGATCAATAGCTGCCAGCTGCAGAGTATCCATATGATCTCTAAGTCTATTGATATCTTATTATTATGATTTCTTTTGTTTCAATTAAAACTCATGGTCAAATTGTATCCTTTTTCCAAGTAAATGTGTCTTGTGCAAACCCCCGGCTAAACCATTTTTTAAAAACCGCGTGTGATTTATAATCACAAGTATAGCATCAGATGTACCACATTGTACTGGAATTTGTTGCTTTAGATTCCTTCAAAAGTCACATACATAAACTTCTTTTTTTTCTTTATGATCAAAATCATTTTTCTTTCTTCAAAATCTTTCAAAGACCAAATAGGTACCCAATTACATGCATTTTTAAACCCCCATTTCATATGTAGTTCCAAAGAAGAAAAAAAATATTTACCTTACAAAAAAAAAGAAAGATCTTATAAAGAAAGAAAGAAAAACAAATGTTAATGTTTTTTTTTCTTTGTTTCAAGTTTCTAAATAAATACAATCAAATCAACAAAAAAAAACTATCAAAGGAATCCATTCATTCCTCAATTTTTTATGTCTTTTTTTCTTCTTCAAAATTTTGATATATGATCAAAAAAAACAGTCCATAATGGAAATCCAAAAAAAAAATCAAATAAGTAAAAAATCAAATCCCAAAAACAAATCAAAAATCAAAATCAATAAAGAATGTCTAGAAGATAAAAGAATGAATCTAAATGTATAAGTATGAAATGAAAGTGTTTAAAAAGAGTTAATCTAAACATTACACTTTTTGGTTTTTTTCCTAGAAAAAAATCTTTTAATACCATCAATTGCCATGCATATGTAGCTCTTTGTAGCTTTTTCCTTTTTTGTTGTTTTTTTTCGGGTTGATTTTTTAAATAATTTTACAAACAAAACCCAATCAACAATAAGAAAAAAGAAAAAAGGAGAGAAAAAAATAATGAACGACTATCAATAGTCAAGATAAGTATGTAGAAAAAAAATAAAGTATGCTAAGAAGAGTAAAAAAGAATGAACCATACGTCTGGTTTTAAAAAAATATGGATGAATGATTGTAAATCAAGGAAAGGAAAGGAAAGAAAACGAAAAGAAAACGAAAACGAATGATTTTTCATAGAGACTACAACATACATGTTTCCTAATTATATACAGAAAACAAAGAAATGATTGAAATAGTCAAAAAAAGAAGTGAAAACAATGCAAAACAAAACAAACCAAGTGATTGAATGGAAATCGAATGGCTAGGTTAGTCATCCTTTTGGTTTTAATAAGTCGGCATGGCAATTCCAATCTTCTCTTCGACTTTTCCTTCTGATTCAGATTGCATCATGGCTTGTAATTGATGATGATCAAGTAAGACAAAACTTTCATGAGCTTGTTGTCTAACAGGATCAAAAAATTCATCAATGATGGAGAACCGATCGAAAAATCCATTGAGGTTTTGATTTGTCTTTAGTTTGTCTTTTTGATAATAAGTTTGATTAAAATGTCTGATCAAGACCCGAATGTCAAAGAAGACGTCTTGTTGAATCTTGTTGAGTTTACATAAAATTGAATTCCAAATCTTTTGTGTTGCTGCTTCAAACTTGGGTAATTCGGCAATCAATTGATCTTCAAGCAGCACATCTCTTGGGTTTCGCTTCAAGATGATTTTGAGTGGGTTCTCATACGTTTTTAATAAAGTTTTACATAGTGGAATGATTGTCTCTCTCAATCTCGCCTCCTGTGGGATTTACAAAAGGACGAATGAGTTGATCTGTTTTTCCATAAGACGGATTTGAAAATTAGATCACGCACCATTACTTTAAAGGGGCCAACAGCAGAAGCTAATGCAACATGTTGTTGATAAGCATTGAGATATTTGAAATCTGCATTACCACTACTCTGATGAAGTGTATAGAACGTTTTGAATGCTTTGACAAGTCTTGAACTTTGTTTGCTCATCTGATTCATCTTCGAGGACCAGTCCAAGATCACTTCCGGTAACTCGATAACTGATTGTCTACTCTTATATATTCTCTTAATCATTTTATTCAAGTCTTCTGTAATAGCTATCCTTTGTTCTTCTCTGACCATCAATGGTCGATTCTGGATAGGTGTTCCAATATTCATGATTGGCGTCCGCCCTTTTTTGCTACTTGGTCTTTTGATGCTCATGTGAGGGAAGGATTTAGACCCCATGATCTCTTCAATATGCTCGCAACGTCGTTTGGCCTGAAATGAATGATTGATATGTTAACGTTTTGACTTTGGACGGATTGGATTGAGGATAAAAGACCAACCTCATTGATTGAATCCGCGACTGCAATCATACCGTTCTTAGCTTCCTCAAGCTGATGTCGATCAGGATGATCTAACGGAGTAAGTTGTGATATCTGATCTAATAACAAGGGGTATTTCATACATCTTTGAACAGGCTTGATTAATAATCTATTAGGCACGCAGAACGCGTACAAGACAGCAAAACAGCAACAAGGACATTCACATCAGTTTTGAACAGATTGACCGATATGGTATAACTCCGCAGGGATACATACGAGGATAGATCCCATGCAGTTGTACACCCGCGAGACAGTTCGTTACAGTAATTTAAATAATCCATAAGGTTTGGTAAGAGGCTTTGTAACCGATTATTCGAAGCTTGGTACTTTGAACAGTAGGTCATGAAGACTTGTTGAATCCTGGGCAACTGTGTTTTTAACAAAGGAATGGTCAAGTCAGTTTGTAACACGGAATACATAAACGGGGAGATATTACCATTTGAAAGAAACAAGTTCCAATCGTATCATCCATTCCATCTGAATTACACTTATTAGCTTTTCTCAACAAAATTGTGAATTCTTCCGCAAGGCAAGCAATCTCTTCAATATTTGAAAATATTGTCTTTTGATCTAAATTAGACATTGGTGGTGATGATCGGTTGATGAGTTCTGGATTCGGAGGAGCAAGATGGGATAGCAACTTCTTTGTTGGTTTGGGACCGGGGCCAGTACTATCAGCTCGACGCAGAGCGGAAGTCGATGGTCTCTTAGATCCAAAATTTATAACGGCGCCCAATTTGAGTTTTTTATTAGGAGATGGAAAGGGTGAGGATGTTTTGGATCGATCATCTGATGATGTCGTACTAGTGTCGAGATTTGTTCTCTTGGTTGAAGGAGGTACTTTTGGGGTGATAGTGACAGCATTGGCTGAATAGATGTCTCTAGTGATAGCCATATCCCGAGCATAGCTCGCCTCAGTATCGATCAATTCAGCAATCACCCTCAATCTTTGGTTGATTTGTTTTTGATTGGAACTTGAATCCAATTGATTCATGAAATGCAGTGAAGCGGCAGAATAAGACGAAGTGGGTCTAGTGTCTAAAGGTGATCGTAGACTTGGTTCCGAGATAGTATTGGAGACTGAAGCGGTGAGGTCAGGTGTACCAGTGATACTATTACGATTAGCTGACCAAGAGTTTGAATTCGAATCACCATCATCTTCATTCAAAGTGGCATCAATAGGTGTGTTTGGGTGGAGTAAAGATTCAAATGTATGCGAATTTGATGCGGTTGATTGGTTGATTTGCATCATGGACCGAGCACGTGATGAAGGTGACAAAAGACGCCTAGTTCTTGATGCGGGCTGTGAATACGATGATGATGATGATAACTTTGTGTTCCTCAAATGAGGGGATGATTGGCGTTTTGATGATGAAGAGAAGGGTGTAGTGAGTGGAGTAGGTGACCGAGATGGAAGCTCAACAGGCGAGTCGAAGATTGGAGAGATTGAATTTGAATTGGAGTTAGAAGAAGCGGAGATTGAAAAGGTGGAAGTAGGCCTGGCTTGAGCTTGATTGATGTCAGGATTGTGAGTTTGAGTATCAAGCATAGTAGATGATGATGATTGAGGGTCTTGAAGATGATTAGAAGGAAGTAGAGCAGAATCTGAGTGATAAGTTGAAAGATGAGGTTTGATAGGTTGGATCGAAGGTTGAAGTGGTTGAATGGTGGATTGATTGCGTTGTTTAACTTTCTCAAGTTCTGAAAGGAAATTGATTTCTGATGGGATCCTAGCATAACGTCTGAGTTGACGAGTGTGAATTGGATTGTTCAGATCGAGATGTTCAATCGGAAGTTGACGTTGTAGCCAAAATAGGGGCTCATGTTGATATTCAATGATTGGCATCTCAGTCAGACCTGACTGAGGTGCTGGTGGTGAATGGGTGTGAGTTTGAGTGAGAGTGGGAACGTGATTTATGTTGAGAGTGTGATTGAGATTTACAAGATTGGATTCGTGCGTGGGAATAAGATTAGAGTTAGCACTCGAATCAGGATCTTCAGAACCAGACATCAAATTTGTTTTGCCAGGCCAGGAAGTAGAGCTAGGAATACAATTTGTAAGGATAAGGGTAGAACTAGAATTCATCTTATCAGACTCTTGATGATCAGCTAAGACCATGTTGTTGTGGTCTTGATTTGAAATAACGATAGAAGATCTTCTTCTTGACTTCAGATCACCTCCAGAATGATCAGAATCAGAATCAACTTCAGAATCAGAATTGATGGGAGATTTGATGATTAAGCATGATGAGGATGATGGTCTTTGAAGTGGTGTTTGTTTATGGTTTGACTTTGAGTTGATTGAAAGGGTTTGAGTGATTGGTACGAGGAAACCGACTGTTATAGAAAAAGCAGGATATTGAAAAGCAGATAAAAAAAAAGTGGGTATGTTAAATAAGAATGAAATATTGGTGTGATATTAATGGGTGTAAAACATGGATTGATGGATGATTGAATTTGGATGATGATAATTAAGGAGAATTAAGCATGGATGTATTTTTGGTGTGTGTACAATAATCACCTGTGTCACTATAAACGTTCAGACTGCATCCGCTTGAAAAATGAGTAAACATATCGGATGCAATCCGAAAAACTCTTTGCAGACCCAACCAGATCTATCAGATACATCTGTGGAGACCTTCAAGAAACTTCCAAAGTCCCTCTGAACATCCTTCTTCTCCCACAAGATCATTCTGGGTAAGTCATGGATATTTCCAGACATTCATGGAACCCTTTGCAGCCCATAGAAATGTATGTTCCACATCAGCACACAAGACAGCATGTATAATAGGCATTTTATACAAGGAAAGGACAAATGTCCAGATGAATCTGGGCAATGGAATGCAAGATCAATGTTTGCAAGGCGGATATGAACGTCCAGATGCATCTGGGTGTTCAAACGCAACATGAAAGTCAAGGCAGAAATAAATGGCCAGATGCATCTGAGTCACAGGCATGTTGACAAGGCGGAGTTTTCAGATGAATGTCCAGATGTTTCTGGGTAATGAAAGCCAGACCAGTTGCGCAAACCAAGAAAACCCCAGTCAATGTTTGCAAGGCGGATATGAACGTCCAGATGCATCTGGGTGTTCAAAAGCAACATGAAAGTCAAGGCAGAAATAAATGGCCAGATGCATCTGAGTCACAGGCATGTTGACAAGGCGGAGTTTTTAGATGAATGTCCAGATGCATCTGGGTAATGGAAGCCAGACGAGTTGCGCCAAACCAAGAAAACCCCAGATACATCTGGATGAGCTAAGTTTAGATACATCTGGGTGACACATGTCTGAGACAGAAATGAATGTGGAGATGTCCAGATGCATCTGTGCCAGGGAAAGCCAGATGAACCAGTTGCTTGTAACCAAGAAAAACCCAGATACATCTGGACGGGCTCAACCACATGACTTGCCACGTCAGGTCTATCAGATGCATCTGGTGGCTAATCAACCAAATGTGTACCCACGTGCATCTGGATTCTCAGCTCAGATGAATCTGGACCAGGTCACCTAGAATTTCATCCTCCAGATCCATGCAGCTAGTATGTGGTGGTGGGTGGGTAGTTGATTATGAACCCGCACCCACCCACCATGTGTGTCTGCTCACACGTACATCTTTATTCTGCTCTCACGTCAGATACATCTGACTCTTCTCACATTTGAAGATAATTGAATCACAATTTATTTCCAGGCAGCAACACAAAAACGAAACCAACCAACTAAACATATCATATGAAAAGGATATTGGCCAGTGTAGTCTTCAATACATTGCTAGGCTGTGGTTCACTCAAAGCTGGCCTGGTTTTCTTCGTCTTCTTGTCATGAATGTGTGAGATTGCATTGATCATTGATTCTCCCTGCGCCACAGTGGCAAAGACAGGCAATAAACCTATCTCACGATCGGCCCATTGGGTGATAGCTGGTACAGACGTAAACTTTCTAGACCAACCGGCCCCAGTCTTCTTGTTTGGAGGAAGTGCACTTGACGCAAGGAAGATATATTTGAAACTTAATCGTTCGCCTTCACGTGCGAGCTAAGAAAACAGAGAAGAAAACACACTACGATGTATTAAAAAACCAGCCAAAGGAAGTTTGGAATAAGTTCAGAATCACACTTACCAGCTTGCCAAGCTGGCGGACACGCTTCAAAGAGGATTTGTTGACGTCGACTTCAGTTTCAGTGAGGCCTTCTGTTTGCAAGACTTTGTCATGTGCAACAAGCTCGTTATAAATTGGACGATATCGCTCTTCGTCTTCTGGAGAGAGAGTTTCCACTTTCGGTGCGGATCCTTGTTCATTTTGATCTTCATCTTCATCTGGGTCAATGTTGATCTGACGATCGAGGTTAGGAATGCCGGCCAAAGCAAAGAAACGCTTTTCATCAAAAACTCTGCGTTGATCGGCCGTGTACTGGGTGGTCCAGATTCTGCCGGCCTTTCTGTTCCGCTCACTCAATACCATGACTTCGCCGCCTTTGTTTGGCACTGACATCAACAAGATTGTCAGTAAGAAGCTCACACCCAAAAAGTTACACAACCAAATATATGGACTTACTTTTCAACTTCAAGGAATCCTTCCCATACGCCATGAATTGACGGTAAGCATCCCGACCCCGGGGAGGAGAAGACTCCCCACTATTCATGCATAAACCAACTTCATCAGTTAGGATCAAGAGAAGGGTGCGTCTAGAGAGCTTATAAAGGGAACTCACAGCGCTCGCTCTAAAGTAGTAAGTTTCACTTTGGCAATGGCGGCCAAAGTCATCTTTTTCTTACGGTAGACCAGTCTATTGTATCTTGCCTCAGTAAGAATCGCCTCAAGTATCTGAGATTGAAACTTCTTCCTTGCATCGACCACGCGCTGAACACGTTTCATCGGCCAAGCTTTCCCGTACTGTAAGTAGTTCTCAACCGTCAACGTGTTTTCGAACTCTTCTATATCTTTTTCAATGTTCTCTAACTCGTTGTCCACCTCTTTTTGGATTGAATTAGGATTTGGTGGAGATGGTAAGCGGGGTGGTAAGAGGCGAGAATCAGAGACTTGTGGCTCTTCAGTTGAAGTAGGTCCGGTCGAGTCATTGATCGAACTAGCCAGAGTTTTCTTTCGTTGCTTGTTTTGACGGGAGGTAGGTTCAGTGGGTGCGTCGTCTATTGCTCGTTTTTTCGATTTCTGTTTCCCGTTATTGACTTCTGGCTGCTTAGAAGGTTGAGTCTTGGAGCCGGAAGCTGTTTGACGAGTTTGTCTCATTTTGTGAAGAGTGAGGGAGATTTTGCGGAAGGTCAAATTGGGGAAATAGTTGTTTTGTTGTAAAAAAAGAGGGAAATCCACAATGACAAGAACCAGAAAGGGGGTTAGGGATAAAACAAAAAATGACACCGGAAAAAAGGGTACTGACCCACGACCCGCAAGAAACAGGGCCCAGATGGATCTGACAGCCAGATGTATCCGATGTACAGATACATCTGAACTCAGATCGCAATTGAATTGAATTTGAATAGGACTATATTCGATACGTATGTATGTCCAATGTCAAATTGAAAACACACCAAAATGACAGACCAAATCAAAAGGGTCCCTAGATAGAAAAAGGGACCAGATCCATCTGGCCCTGTCACCTTCACCCAAGACCCGCAAGAAGCAAGGACCAGATAGGTCTGACAATCAGATGTATCCAATATCCAGATACATCTGGACTCAAATTCCATTCGAGTTTGACGTACATGGACATATCAAATTATAAACATGGCATATGAAAGTGACTGGAAAAAAAGGGTTCTGGAAAAAGCAACCAGATCCATCTGGCCCCTGTACATCAATCTTCATGTAGGTTAGTATGTAAATGAGCGTAATTACAAAAACAATTGAGTGGACTACATAATACAAATGAATTGTATGTATTGTATTCCGTGGACCGTCATTGTTGAAACTTGACACTATGTTCACAACCATTCAATTCCAATGGATGATAATTCAATGGTATTGACACGTGAACTTATAGTTCATTTAATGCTTAGCATGATGTCCAACAGGGAGTCAGAATCTCGGTCAAAGGAAAAAATGAAGAATCCACATTCCTAAACACAAAGAAATAAGAATGGGCGGGCATAGTCAGATATTGGTCATATTAATATGATTGTCTGCTTTGCACCTGCACCCAATGTTTAAAATAACCAAGATTTGCTACAAAGAAAACAAATTGGGCACTTGTTGACATCACAGAATTCAATAAAACAAATACAATGGTGGACAAGCCACAAGGTAGGTGTAAGATATGACCAAAGGTGAGATATGAGAGCCAAGGTGGCTGTTTCAAGCTTGGAGGAGGTGAGGAATTGGAAAAGTGGCTTATTAGACTCACCATGAAATTAAATTTTGTATTTTCAGGCGGAGATTTTGCCTTTTTTGCATCATCCTCAAGTAGTTCTAGGCAGTGTAATGACCAAAAGTGGGAAAACTGTGTGGCTAAAGTTAAGAGATATTGGTTGACCTCAATATCAACTGTAGAAAGCTAGGTGATAAGGTAAGAAAGGTACTTTTAATAGTTTTTCAGAGTAACTTTCTTAAGACTACTTCTTCATAAATCTATATCATCAAAAACACATGAAACTACAGCAGTTTTGTGACCAACATGATACTTATAAGCTCTTCCTTGAAACTTTGTGCCAGAATTATAATCCAAGGGATTGAGGCTATGGAAAATTGATATTATCATACTGGCACTGAGATGTTCAGCTAGGATTCTGGTGGGTAATTTGCATATATCACCAACCACCAAATTTCCTGCATGCATCATTGACCACTGATGTTCATCCACGTACAAAGTGGTATAACATGGTGAAATTTTGGGTGAGGTGACCAAAAAAAAAAAGTTGAGATTTTTGGTTTTTTCCATAGGTTTAAGTTATATTAAGAAGGTACTTTTTTTTTGGATTATCTCAACAAACAAAAAAGTTTTTCTTATCAAGTGTCTTCCCCAAATCAGCCCAAAATTTCACTAAAAAGCCCATTACTGGTCCATGTGAGGGTGTGTTGACTACCTAGTGTGATAAATCTGAATGCCACAACATGTAAAAACATTTTTCAATTTTGACTGTTGAGTTTGAACCAAAACTGCAAAAGTTTTATTGGTGGCATGTGATTCCGCAAAGACGTGCATGGGGGTTCCACAAGGCCACTAAACAGGCCATAAGTGGTCTGTACATCCTTATTTTGACTAACAACTTTCACACATGTAGATGCCACAAGATCCAAGAACAATGCCCATGCCCAACAATGCCACTTTTCCGTATTCTAATTACGTCACAATCAAAATCTCCCTCAAAGTTATTCAAAAACATGCTGTCTGCTCCCACTCATCCGCCAAATCACTCCCAACTTTGCCAGTATGTCATCTTACCCCCAAAGATACAATTCAATTTCAGCGCAACTCTTATGATGGATACCAATTTTGCATTTGCTCATTCCTTCACTTTCCAATCACGGCCAAAAAGTGTCACCAAACATCTTTCCATTAGGCCATTACAACTGGTACTTCACAGGTGTGAGAAGTGATTGAATACACACAAATCAAAGATTTGGATGTATCATTTGCAATTTCTTAGAAATAATACTTCCAAGTTGGACTATCATTTGTCCCAATAGCCAAATGAACACTAGTAAAACAAGGACAGATAGTTGTCTCCTGGCCTGGAAGACCTTTATAAAGGGATCCCACTATTTAGCGCCCTCGGAGCAGTATCCGGCGCCCCTTCTCGGGTCGGACATCAGGCTACAAACCTTTCTGGCGCCCCTTCCTACAAAAAGGGGCTCCTTATTTGATCATAAGGGGCACCCACGATCTTTACTTCATCTCCTCTATTTATCCTCCATTGATCTTGTTCAGTCAAGGATTTCCTCTTTTGTACATGTAGACAACACCCATCTAACTATCTGAAGTAAGCGAAGTCGATACAGAGCCATTGTCACTTCGATAAAAGTGCGACAAGCTGAGCTCGATGAACACACAAGACTGTATGCATTGCATAAACATATCTCAATTAGTCAACCAACAAGTCGCTCATCATCTCCTAGCTTTCGAGATGATCATTCCTTTACTTGAAAACCCCACTGATGATTCAGTCCAGATTGCGGTCGGTTTCACCAAACAAGTTGTTGCTTTCTTTTTGGAGGCTGAACCTAAAGCCAATAACAGTGTTTATGAACGATTCCGTTTAATCTTACATGAAGCTACTATCAGCAAACGAGTTCAATACATGATTGAAGTCTTATTTCAAGTTTGTAAGTATTGATTCAAGGATAATCCAGTCTTGCCCGAAGGATTGGATCTTGTCAAAGAGGACAATATCATTACTCATCATAACAGAGGCAGAAAACAAAACAAAACAAAAGGACACAAACTACAAAAACAGACATACCACAACTGTAGAGTGTCCAACATAAGAAACAGACTATCAATCCTGATTTATTGAATTCACAAAGGAAGGAAGAAAATTCATTGATATGAACTTTCAAGCTGTCTGATCTGATTTGTGACATGGTTTGCAGAGCGAGCTCGATATGCTTGAGCTTTAGCCTTGTAAGAGTTGAAGTGAAAAACTTTGAGATGATTCCAGAGCACAAGAGGATCATGAACAATTTGCATATCTCTAGTAGTTGGATCTCTAACAGTTAATTCATCTCGCAGCCCCATCAAGGATGGAAGGGCACCAAATAGGTCAACTGACAATTAATTGGGGCTCATTTGCGAGTTTGTGCCCTCTTAGGGAGCCCTTGAGGTCCGACTGTGCAAAATATAGGCTGAAAATGGTCGGGTGTCAGCGGGTCACACGGGTTTTGGTGAAAACCCGGGGGGCTCCGGATATCAGCCAAGGGGGCGCTAAATAGTGGGATCCTTATAAAGAGTCCAAAACCATTGTGTCTCACGTGTATCTCCAGCCGTCTCATGACCATTTGAAATGTGACAGTTGAATTGATCAGCCAATCCAACCCAATCAGAACTAGTGTGATAGCCAAAGACGGTTAGTGTGATAGACGGTTAAATCAAATAGTTGGGGCTGGCATATCACATAACCCAACAAAACATTCCAGCTTTTTTTCCCTTTATATTATTCATGAGTGACTCGCAAATTCCCTGTCCACTTGGCCGTTGAGTGCAGACACGCCATTCAAGACCTCAGAGTTCCTCTGCTCAACGATTGGCAGAATTTGAGGCGATTGAGTTGGACTACATAGCACCTTTTATCAACACACTATCTTGAGCCATCACTCAACCCAACGAATTTGAATTACACCCCAATGAACATTATAATGAAGATAATTTCCAACACAACAAGATACACAATATACATATCATGGACGAGGATTCAAGTTCTGACTCGGAATTGGAGGTCGAATCAGAACCCGATGCACCTGGAACGGCATACATCCGCCTCACAAGCAGCAAGACTTATCAGGAACGGCGCATCAGAGAGGCGCGACAGTGGAAAAGTATCATTGAAGTAATGTTTTTGACATTCATGAAATGTCGGCAGAAGAGAGGTGGCCGGACAGACAATTGGAACAAAGATCTCAAAGAACATTGTCATTGCAATGAATCGAGTAGAGTGAAGCAAATGGTGGATTTAATCAACATATTGGGTGAGTTTTTTTGTATGTATCAGGTGTCCTGTGAACTGAGGCAAGTAGGACAGGCCGCATAAGGGTAGAAGTGAACTTTTGCTTGTGCCAAATTGATCAGGTTCGACTGATAGAAATGGGATACATCGGGAGTTCTCCAGTACACCCTCAAACAGCCTATTCAATTCGATTGCTCCGCTTCCATCACTTTCTTTGGAAGTACTGTAATATTCGACTTCAACCTTTTGCTCAGGCTCTTGATGATTATCTTGATATGAGTCACCCAATTCTATGGGCTAAGAATGGGGAAGATGTAAGTAGATCACTTTTTTTTACATCTGATCAGCGCGATATTCACATTTTCAATATGTTTCCCACTTTCATTGATCTACTACTTCGATAGGCTAGACAGTGGAGATTCACTCTCACTCCTGCCGTTGATGTTTATCGGGATTTTATCAGGTTGGAGAAAGAACTAAGCGATTGTGTACTTGACCTTACTGGATTTGAGAAGCTACAAATCAATTGCCCACGTTGTTATGGACGATTCTCCGGAGCACTACACTCAAACGAACCTCAGGTCATTGTATGTCTAGACTGTAACTTTCAACAACGTTGGCATAAATCAGCTA